AGTTTGTAACCAGAAAATGTTAAGATAAATACACTCCACAATTCAAAAGTATGACAAGATGTTCCCCAACACGTCCAAAACCAAGTTCATTTGATGCTGTACAAAATGACTGTTTATACATGGGGGCGGCGGGGGGGGTGGTGACAGGAATTTTGGTATTAATAAAATAATAAACCCCACGATTATGAATGAGCTGCTAAAGAACATATTATGTGTGCATGACATTATCAGTGACCTTCAGCAGACAGCACTCTTAGGCACTGTGAGAATTTTAAGGAACGTCAAAGGAGACTGAGTCCATTTGACCACCTAAAATGTAGAAATTCTGTGGGTTTAACAAAACTGACTACTAAAACCTATAGAATCGGTTCATGATCAGGATTCTCACCAGATTTGCCTGTTACTTTGGGGTACGCTCATTTATTAGGGTTACTCTTCTGGGGGGGTGTCTGTAATTCTCTCAATGTACTGCTCATGTCACTTGTGTTCTCATGGAGCTCTACTTCTGCTGCAAGTTCCCTCCCAATGGGGCTATCCTGCAGGACCTAGGTTCCTCAGGGCTGGGTTCTTCCAGCCCCAGAATCAGAGGAACACACATATTAACAGAGTGTGTCTGAGAGGACCGGATTAATCAGCACTCCAAAGCTAACCCCTTATATGCCACTGGACTCAGACTGGGTCAAGCAGCACCTCCAAGCTGTCACCCTCATGTGTCCCTGGTTCAGCACATCCCTATCCCCACTTTCATATTACAATTGTTCTGGTAGTAACCCACTTGATGAGCAAACCCCACGGGATTTTTGGGCGCTGCAGGGATCTTTTAGCTTAGGCACAGGCACCAACTTTCCTTGACACCGGTGGGTGCTCGTGTCCCGAAAAGCTGTTTCGCGGCGCAAGAGTTGGGAGGGAGGAGAAGCAGGACGCGGGGGTGTGCTCAGGGGAGGAAGCAGAGGTGGGCGGAGGTGAGTCGGGGAGCTGCCGGTGGGTGCTCCAGCCTCGGAGCACCCACCGAGTCAGCGCCTATGAGCTTAGGTACGAGGAGCGTTGCTGCAGAGCGAATGAGGAAACCAAAAAACACCCACGAGGGGGAAGGAGAGAGAGAAGCAACCAGCTTAACCATGAAAGTTATTTATTGCTAGGTAATAACCATAGGGGGCCTGTACATATTGGGTTCCGGGAAGTGGGCGGACAAAGCCCGCCTACTGCTAAAGGATCCTCCCACAGCCTAAGGGGAGGACCCACAGGGCCTAAAACCCAAATGATTATGGGGGACAACTAATGTAAAAACAGGGACAGGAGTGCGATTAAAGGGTCAAAAGAAGGGATCCTGACGGGGACACCGAGCAGAGAACCCCGGACAGCGCCCACTGCTCCTCAAAGGTGTCAAGGGAGCCAGTGGACGCCGCCCAGAGGAACTCTGCCCGGATACGTGAATGGACAGAGGATCGGAAACAGGCCCCACAGTCACAGGACCCTCCATCGGCCAACCTCCTCTCCCTGGTTTAATAGATGGCCTGTTTAGCCAGGGCCAAGAGGAAGTTGACCAGGAGGTCCCGTGACTTTGTGGGGCCACGGATAGGGAGTGCATAAATGAGAAGGTGAGGGGAAAAGTGTAACCAAAAACACAACAAAATGTCGGTGAGGAGCCGGTGTAGGGGCTGCAACCTGGCACACTCTAAGTAAACGTGAGCCAGGGTCTCCCTCACGCCGCAGAAAGGACAGGTGTCAGGGATAGAGGTAAACCGCGCCAAGTACACGCCCGTGCTCACGGCCCCATGAAGGAGCCGCCAACTGACATCCCCGGCGGGCCTCGGGACCAGGGTGGAATAGAGACTGGCCCACCGGGGCTTCTCACCCTCGACAGGTGGCAGGAGGTCCCGCCACTTTGTATCGGGGCGGGACACGAGGGTGAGGAAGTGGAGAGTGTGGAGCACGAGCGTGTATAGATGTTTCCTTGGCGCGGTCAGGAAACGAACCGGCTGCAAGTTGTGCAGCCGGCTCACGGAGAAGGGGCGGGGAGGCCGGTTGGGTCCACGGGGCAGGGGCCCGATAAAGAGGTCCGGAGGACCAGGGGTGGAGGGTGGGCGGGGAGTGCCCTCGCGCAGGACCTGGTCGAGGTAGACCCGAGCAGCGGGCGGCAAAGTGGCCCTCACCTCCCGAAGTACGCGCCGGGGATCCAGCCAGACTCCCCGGTCGTAGTCCAGGAGGTCTCCGACTCTAGTGACGTCTGCCAAGACCAACCTCTGGCGCACCGCGGGGGACTCCGCCACCTGCACACGAAGCTGGGGGTTGTGTAACAGGGGCTCCGCGAGGAGATCTGCCCCCCCCCCGGTGGCCGCCATGGACCTGGTCGCTGAGAACAGTTTCCAGGTCCGGAGAAGGTCCTGGTAGAAGACCGGCAGCCCGGAAAGGTCTCGCGGAAGGGGCCTGTAGCGGGGTGGTTACCCTGTTCCTGCCTGAGTGGCTTCAAACAGCCAGGGAGCAGGGCTGGGGCAAAGGAAAAGCTACAAGGCTGATTGGGGAAGCAGCTGCAGCTGGGCCACGCCCCAATCAGGCCTCAGCTGGCCTGCATAAAGAGGCTGGGAGCCAGGAGCTCAGCAGTCTTTCTCTGCGTTCAGAGGGAGAAGGGCCTGGCTGCAGGGAGCTAAGACAGAGTACCAGAGTGGAGCAGGGCTGGGGAAAGGCTGAGGAGCTAGGGAGCTCCAGCCTGGAAAGCCCCAGGCTGTGGCCTAGTATTAGGCCAAGGGGTACTGGGGGTTGCAGAGGGCAACCCAGGTGTAGGCCAAGGCAGCAGGTCCAAACCCAACCTTGCCTGTGATGAGTGGCCTATACTGCAGTCTGCCCCAGGGAATGGGGGCTAGTTGGTGACTGGCAGTGGCCTTATTCTGAGGCGAGGTAGGGATAGCGGGTGATGGTTCC